GCTTTTTAGTGTTTACTTTTTTGACATTACTTTAATCTTTTGCCATAGTTGCACATGTCTACTGGCTAATAAATGTGATGTATCTGTTGAGTTTCAAGCAATTTCAAGCATGCTAAAGAGTCCCAAAAGCATCAAAAAGAATGTTAAAGTTTGTTCTTTGCCACGGCAACAGTATCAAAGATATCAAAATTCATTCACAGGTCTACATCTGCCATGTATTTACATTATACAGATGAAGTTTGAAGCAAATCGGTTAAAAATAAGAGAGTGATTTCAAAGCATTTTGAAAGTGACACACTTCCTGCTGCCAGTTGGTGGCGCTATAACTTTGACTCACAATAGTCACATCCATGTGATCGGTCTCTTACAGCGAAAACACTGCTGAAGTTTCATCAAGATCAGTTAATGTATGCTGAAGTTATAACACACATCCTGTTTCATGTTTCTCGCCATAATTTCGTTTCCTCGCCACGGCCAAGCCGTTCGAGATATCAAAAATCCCGTGGCACTTTTTCATCCTTAATGTCTTGACTTCACGCCAGAGATGGGACCAAGTCACACATGTGCAAGTCTCAAGTAAGTCTCAAGTCTTAAACCGTCAAGTCTCAAGTAAGTCCCAAGTATTTTTTGGGGCAAGTCAAGTCAAGTCAAGTCACAGGCTATGTCAAGTCAAGTCAAGTCAAGTCTTGTAGTAGGTCAAGTCAAGTGCAAGTCAAGTCACCTTATTATTGTAATTTTACATGCAGAATCTGATCTTAATAAAGTGAAATGACAAGATAAGTATTTGCCAGTAAAATTACAATAATTTGGATTTGCATTGTAAATACTCATGTTCAGTAAAATACATCATGGAATCAAACAAAATTGTAACTTAATAAAATTATTTATTTTTCAGTTCTGCCAATAGTGTGTTTGAAATGTTTTAAATTTTCAGCAATTTGAAATGTTTTAAATGTTTTAAATGTATCAGCAATGGCGGGGTAACATCACTTGTTGATGTTCAAACAAAACAGAGAGCTAGCTGGCTACTCCCTCCCATGCAATTGAAACTCTTCTAAACATGCATCTATGGGCATCAGTTTGGTTTGAAATGGACAGAGGCGCATTCGGAAGTGCATTTGGGTACAATGACGCATTCATTTACTAGCTTACTAATTTAAAGAAATAAAAATGTATACAAAAATGAGATGATGTCCTGACTTGTTTTATGAAAAAAGCCTTAAGTTTTCAAAAAGCATTAGACATTACTCACTTACTGTGACGACCCCTGCTGTTGGTCTTGAGTGTTGCTGTTGGTACCTGAGCCCGCTAATTGCATCAAATGGCCTAATTGCCTCAATGGAAACACCTGTGACCTTAGACGCTTAAAAGATCACCATCTGAGCCAAGGAAGGAGGGCTCTTTGGTTGCGGACTTTGCTTTGGTGTTTGGCTTGCGTTGTATTTTGTTGCTTTTTGCATTCACATTTCAAACCTCAACATTGCATTACCCTTTCAACCATGCACCGTGCTCTACACACTGATTTTGCTGATTACTACAGAAACACTTTTATTTTCTTTAATTGTTTTCATTTCATTATTCTGTTTTGTCTTATTATTTGTAGTTAAATAAACATTATTTTTGAGCCTATAATTTGGTTTGCGTGTGTCCCTTGTTTTTGTTGCTTCCCTTGAGCCAAGGGTCGTAACAAATTGGGGGCTCGTCCGTCCTTTGATAATTTGATTGCGTACATTTTTGGATGCTTAATTTGATAATTGATTATTTGTTGGACACACGAAAATGTTTTTTGCCAAAGTCAATTTGTTCACCGTGTGAAATCACCAGTTGGTAAGTGAATGTGCAATATTGTTTTTTGAACGTGAGTTTTCTCTGATAGGCATAGCGGCATGTTTCTTTTGAGATGTGTCGGGTTTGTTATTTTTGTGTAGTGTTGCGGTGAAAGTGGGTAGTAGTAATTATCTCGGGAGCACATCCGTGGTGTTGAAGGCGTCGCTGGTTTGACCAGTTGCGTTTTTCACCCAGCGGGCTACAGTGCATAAATACCCCCCACCGGTAATCGCATGAAGACTAGGGTTGAGTTAGGTAGAGTATTGGAAAGGTAGAGGGAAAACTCTCGTTATTTGATTGCACTGTGCTGATTATATTTGTTCTGGTGATTTCAGCATGGCTGATATTGATGAGTTTGTTAGTTCACCTTCTCATGAACTTTTGAACGGGTGTACTAAAGAGCAATTATTGAGTATTGCTGAACATTATGAAATTGTGATAAAAGATAAAAGGCTCAAAGAAAATGTTAAGACAGCTTTGAAAATTGAGTTAATTAAACAAGGTATCTTAGATATCGAGATGGAGGAAAAAGATGTACCGATTGCACCTGACTTAAAAAGTAATTTGTCTTTTGAACAGCAAAAAGAGCTGCTACTTCTACAGATGGACCATGAGAACATAAAACTGCGTGCTGAACAAGGTAAAAGGGAATTAGAAAAGGCAAAGTTGGATTTGGAATTTCTCAAGCTCAACCTAGTGAAAGAAGGTAAGCTTTCTGGTTCTGGTCAGGAACAGAATGTGTTTTTTTCGATCAATTCAAACTTAAAACTCATTCCTAAATTCAACGAGGAAGATCCTGATACTTTCTTTACTCTATTTGAACGCATGGCAGAATTAAGGAACTGGTCCGATGATAATCGTGTTGCTCTACTACAGTGTGTGTTAACGGGGAAAGCACAAGTAGTCTTTTCTTCATTGTCGCTTGACGATTGTAAAGATTATGAACGAGTTAAATCTTTAATTTTAAAGGCGTATGAATGTGTACCCGAAGCATACAGACAGCGCTTTCGATGGCAGAAAAAAGACCAGTTACAAACAAACTTAGAATTTGTGCGTGATCTGAGAAAACACTTTAATCATTGGTGTTCATCATTAGACATTAAAACACTGGAGGATTTAACGCATTTGATGGTGTTGGAACAATTTAAAAATTCAGTCCCAAGCCGTATAGCTGTGTACATTGGTGAGCATAATGTTAAAACACCAGAGGAAGCGGCTAGGTTGGCCGATGATTTTGTACTGACGCACAAAACCACTTTTGTCGATTGGCATGCTCGTGATGTTCAGTACATAAAGTCTCCGTCTAACGGTAACCGCGTTTCCACAGGAACTTTTGATCCAAACAAGATTTGCAATTACTGTCATGAGAAAGGACACTGGAAAGCAGATTGTCCGGTCCTTAAAAAGAAGTCCCAACATAATGCACAGAGCTCACATGTTAAACCTTCTGCTCTCGCGGCACCAGTCCTGTCTTCAGGGAGTGAAATTTTTGAAAATCAAAAATTTGATGTTGATTTATCTTCTTACTCGCCTTTTATTACAGAGGGGCGTGTATCCCTGGTTGGAGAGAAAGAGGAAATCCCTGTTAAAATCTTGCGGGATACTGGCGCAATGGATTCATTTATTTTGGAATCAGTATTGCCTTTTTCCTCACAGTCTCATACTGGTGAGAGTGTGTTAATTCGTGGAATAGGACTGAATACTCTGTCTGTGCCTCTTCATAAGGTAAGGCTTCAGTCTGATTTGATTCAAGGTGAGGTTGTAATGGGAGTACGACCAGCTTTGCCAGTGGAGGGAGTCCATATAATTCTGGGGAATGGACTGGTAGGTGAAAGAGTGTGGGCTGATACTTCAGTGTTTCCCATAGTGATCACTGATAAGAAAGTTGAATCTGAACTGAGTTCTTTGTGTCAGGATTCAGCGTGTGTCGTCACTCGTGCAATGAAAGGTGCCAATAGGGATGTAGTATGTGGTCAAAAAGAGGTTAAATCTGATAAAGTCGGCATGAAGTTGTTTATGCCTGATTTGTCTGCTTTGTCTTTTCCTGTTTCTGCAGAGGAATTAGGGAAGGAACAGCGGAATGACTCCTCTTTGGATGAACTCTTCCGGAGTGCAGTGCCTCCAGTAGAGGAGTGTAACGTTTCCCGTGGATATTTTGTTCAAGATGGAGTGTTGTTGAGAAAATGGAGTCCTCACAAAAATTTTGTGGGAGATCCTGTCTTTCAGGTTGTTGTTCCTACTAAATTTCAACAAATGATGATCGAAATTGCGCATGATCAATCTGGTCACCAGGGGGTGCGTAAGACTTATGATCGCTTGTTGCGATATTTTTTTTGGCCGCGTTTAAAACGAGACATCTCTGCTTATATTAAGACATGTAAAACCTGCCAATTAACGAGTAAACCAAACCAGGTGTTGAAACCAGCTCCACTGAAACCAATTCAGGCTACTGGTGAACCTTTCGAACATCTTATTGTTGATTGCGTAGGGCCACTTCCCCGTTCGAAGTCAGGTAGCAGTTATTTATTCACTGTGATGTGTTTGAACACGCGCTTTCCTGCGGCATATCCACTACGTACCATTACGTCCCGTTCTATTGTGAAAGCTTTGACCCAGTTTATATCTGTTTTTGGGATTCCAAAAATCATTCAAAGTGATCAAGGTTCAAATCTCACTTCGCATCTCTTCCAGCAGGTGTTAAAACAGCTGCACATTAAGCATAATCAATCGACGGCGTATCATGCACAAAGTCAGGGTGCATTGGAGAGATTCCACCAGTCGTTAAAGTCACTTCTCCGTGCGTACTGTGTGCAACTGGATAGAGATTGGGAGGAGGGTTTGCCGTGGATGATGTTGGCTGCCCGTGAAGTAGTGCAGGAAAGTACGGGTTTCAGCCCTAATGACTTGGTCTTTGGCCATAATGTTCGTGGATTGTTGTCTGTCTTTCAGCAGGTTGGTGAAGCTGTAGAACCTCCTAAAAACTTGGCGTCATATGTTTTGGGGTTTAAAAATCGACTCATCCAGGCTAGAGAATTAGCTAAATTAAATCTAGGAAAACATCAGAAAGATATGAAGCAATTGTATGACCGTACGGTTGAACATCGAGTGTTTGAACCAGGCGATCAAGTTCTTGTCTTACGGCCGATCGTATCCTCTCCTTTTGAAGCTAAATTTGATGGCCCATTTGTTGTACAACGAAAATTGACTGATGAAAATTATGACGTCTCGATGCCATCGCGTAAAAAGTCAGTTAAACGGTGCCATGTAAATCTATTAAAACCCTATTATGAAAAAGAAACCAAACCTGTAGCAAATGTGATTTCTTTACATTCAGCACTTCCCACCGTTTCTATCGGGGGGGTAATGTTGAGAGTTTGGTGGGTGAGGAAGAGGAGACTCTCTCACCCGATGATTGTGTCTTTCGTGGCCGTTTGAATAATTCCGAGTCATTGCACAATTTGGAGTTTAGTCTCTGTCATTTATCGCCTGGAAAATGTCAGGAATTATGTAGAATATTGCGTAGTTTTCCTGAATTGTTTGGAGATGTGCCATCGCGTACCGATTGGGTAGAACATGATATCGATGTTGGGGACGCAAAGCCTATTAAACAGCGTTTTTATCGTGTTGCGCCTGAGAAACGAGAACTGATAGAGAGGGAAATTAAGTATATGCAGGATCACGATATTGCAGTACCTTCTTTTTCTGATTGGGCTTCTCCGTGTATCTTAGTTGGAAAGTCAGACGGTACTGTAAGATTTTGTACGGATTTCCGTAAAGTTAACGCCTTAACAAAGCCGGACTGTTTTCCTTTGCCCCGAGTCGAGGATTGTGTGGACCAAGTTGGTTCAGCCAAGTTCGTCAGCAAGTTTGACTTGCTGAAGGGCTATTGGCAAGTGCCTTTAACCAAGAGAGCACAAGAAATTTCATCTTTTGTCACCCCGTCAGGATTACATTCTTACCGGGTCATGAGTTTTGGTCTACGAAATGCTCCGGCGACTTTTCAACGCCTCATGAATCGTGTAATCTGTGGTCTTGAGGGTTGTGCCGTCTATTTGGACGACTTAGTCGTTTTTAGTGACAGTTGGGAGTCTCATTTAACACGGTTGCGTTCGGTGTTGAGACGTTTGTCTGATGCTCGACTTACGTGAATTTGGCCAAATGCGAGTTTGCGAAAGCGACCATCACGTATCTTGGGAAGGTAGTGGGGAATGGAGAAGTGCGTCCGATACAGGCTAAAGTGCAAGCCATCCAGAATTTTCCTTCCCCAACGACCAAGAAAGAGCTTATGAGGTTTTTAGGGTTGGTAGGATATTATCGATCTTTCTGTTGCAATTTCTCTACTGTGGTAGCACCACTGACAGACTTGTTAAAGGGTAAGACAAAGTTTTTATGGTCTAACAGTTGCGAATTAGCTTTTGAGAACGTAAAATCCCTGCTGTGTTCAGCGCCCGTGCTTATGGCTCCGTGCTTTGATAAACCCTTCACGTTGCACGTTGATGCCAGTAATGTTGGGGCTGGAGCTGTTCTTCAGCAGTCGAATGTGGACGGAGTAGACCATCCAGTTAGTTTCTTTTCGAGAAAGTTTAACTCATACCAACGTAACTATTCTGTGGTCGAAAAGGAAGCGTTAGCCCTGATTTGGGCCTTGCAGCATTTTGCGGTTTACCTTAACGCCTGTGCACCTATTGTGATATACACCGATCATAATCCATTAATCTTTCTCAATTCTTTGCAGTGTCCTAACCAGAGGTTGGTTCGCTGGTCCTTGTTTTTTGCAATCCTTCTGTCTGGATATTCGACACATAAGAGGGTTGGAAAATGTGGTGGCTGATGCGCTGTCACGCGCTCCTGATGCATTTTAATCTATTGGATTCAAATGTATCATTCTTCTTGGCGTTATTGGGAGCTGTCTTTGGTCCTGAACTTGAGTAATATATTATGCCTATTTATTGAGATTTGTTTGTTCTGTTACAGGGATCTTTGTGGGAGTCCCTGTCTTTATGGGGAGGGGTGTGACGACCCCTGCTGTTGGTCTTGAGTGTTGCTGTTGGTACCTGAGCCCGCTAATTGCATCAAATGGCCTAATTGCCTCAATGGAAACACCTGTGACCTTAGACGCTTAAAAGATCACCATCTGAGCCAAGGAAGGAGGGCTCTTTGGTTGCGGACTTTGCTTTGGTGTTTGGCTTGCGTTGTATTTTGTTGCTTTTTGCATTCACATTTCAAACCTCAACATTGCATTACCCTTTCAACCATGCACCGTGCTCTACACACTGATTTTGCTGATTACTACAGAAACACTTTTATTTTCTTTAATTGTTTTCATTTCATTATTCTGTTTTGTCTTATTATTTGTAGTTAAATAAACATTATTTTTGAGCCTATAATTTGGTTTGCGTGTGTCCCTTGTTTTTGTTGCTTCCCTTGAGCCAAGGGTCGTAACACTTACTCCCAGTAATTACACCCAGTCAAGTTTGATAAAAATAAATTTTTAGTTTATTTTTATTATTTAAAATGCATTTAAGAAAATATATTAATATAAACCTGATTTATTGTTGACTGGTGTGTGTTTAAAATTTGTGTTCAGAATAAAATGGAACTGTTCAAGCAAGTTGTAGAAATCCTCCCTCCGGAACGTTATTGGTTGCTACAAAGGCAAAGTGCTGTAACTAACTACACAAACAAAGAAACAGCGAGAAAAAGGTCTTTAAAGTTTTTATACCAGCCAGTAAAACATGTTATGGGTAGATTATGTGGTAATGCATCTCCGAAATGGGACATAATTTAACCCAGATATTTTTTCACAAGACAGAACACATGTCATAAAGCCCATTACAAGTCTTAACTCATTTTTGACCAAATGTGTAGTTACTGCGCTTTGCCTTTGTAGGGCAGTATTGCTAGGGGTTCCTACAGGAAAACTGAACTCCCTGAGCTTCTTCCTGTATTCGTGAAGTTGACTGTGTGTATAAAATATATTCTTATTAAACTGTATGGACACTGACAAAGTTCTCAATGCTTCGTTTGAATGTAGGGACACTTATTATGTTAGTGTGGGCTATTTTGAGCCTTGTGGTAATAACAAGCGATTTTTATTTGTCATTACTCTATGCCCTATATACTAGCGTTATAGGCTAAACTGTTTTTTATAGATAAATCTATTTACATTCGGCAATCATGAAAACAAATCTCAGATAATGGTTGACTAGGAAATGTGTAATTTTGCGCCGGAGTTCTCCTTTAACTTACATTAGCTAGCTAACTACGAACGAGCTAACCAGATAACATTAACAAATTGACAAGCACTTACTGGGCAGAATGGCTCTTCAAATGACGGACGAAATTGGAGGTTGTCGTCTGGCTGTCCGCGATCTTAACGTTGCATGTCTTGCAAAGCGCTATTCTTTTGCCATCTTGTTTTGAGAAATTCTTGAAGCCGAAAGCAACGACCCTCGGTATCCCTCCGGCTGACATGTTGATGTGATCTGATGTAAGTGGGCGTGGTGTGCGTAAGGTATGAGAGGGCATGACTGATGATCTCGTGATCCAGTCATGACAGCGCTATTCTCAGCCTGCGCTCCAGCTGGATCAACTTTATTTTTTTTTTACATAATTTATATATTTTATATTCAAACTGAAAACATGATGTGATTAACACTCAAGTCATTCAAGTCATCGTGTCTCAAGTCAAGTCAAGTCCCGAGTCTTTAACTCCCAAGTCCGAGTCAAGTCTGAAGTATTTTATTTTTTGTCAAGTCAAGTCACAAGTCATAAAAATAGCGACTCGAGTCGACTCGAGTCCAAGTCACCAAGTCACAAGTCCCCATGTCTGCTTCACGCTGATCGAGTTTCGGCGAATTTGGTTCAGTGCTCTAGGAGCAATAATTTAAATTCCATTGCATGTGTTTTAAACACAACCCTAAATAGCCAACTTCCTGTTGGGCTGGGGTAAAAAGTAAGAGTGTGAAGTATATATGAAACGATGAGATCTATATGTGTACCAAGTTTCATATTATTACATACAAGTGTGTTTGATTTATGGACCAAATTTTCAGACCAAGTTTATTGACCAAGTTAATCTGATTAATAAACTAATTATATAAAACTATTGTCAATTCACTACAATTAAACTGGTTATATGCCTTTACTTATAAAAATAAAAATAAAAACTTAATTAAAAAATACCAGGCTTGAGAAATGTATTTTCTTTATGCAGGTCATACACACAGCAGTGAAATGGTTAAGCCCCCTCCCCTGCACACACACACACACACACACACAGACAGCCAGCCAGCCAGCCAGCCAAAGACACAGAGACACAGAGACATGTAGGCTCAGAGTGGCCATATTCAAACAAAAATATCTGACTTTCTGTGGGTCCTAGCTAATAAGTGTCAATTAGAAAGTTGTCCGGCTCGAGGAGTACAATATACATACCAATTTTTGTAACTCTAGTTAAAACTAACCACCCCACTTTTGTCAAAAGGTGGCGCTACTGAGCCCTCACCACGCCCGTTTCTGCAACTTTGCACATGTCTACTGGCTAATAAATGTTATGTGTCTGTCGAGTTTCATGCAATTTGAAGCATGCTAAGGGTCTCAAAAGCATCCTAAAAGCATCCTAAAAGAAGGGTAAAGTTTGATGCGTTGCCACGGCAACAGTATCAAAGATATCAAGAATCCATTCACAGGTCTACATCTGCCGTATGTTTACATTATACAGATGAAGTTTGAAGCAAATCGGGTAAAAATAAAAGGGTGATTTCAAAGCATTTTGAAAGTGACACACTTCCTGCTGCCAGTTGGTGGCGCTATAACTTTTACTCACAATAGTCACATCCATGTGATCGTCCTCTTACAGCGAGCACACTGCTGAAGTTTCATCAAGATCAGTTAATGTATGCTGAAGTTATAACACACTTCCTGTTTCACGTTTCTCGCCATGATTTCGTTTCCTCGCCACGGACAAACCGTTCGAGATATCAAAAATCCCCTCGCAAACTTTCATCCTCAATGTCTTGACTTCACGCTGACCGAGTTTCGTCGAATGTGGATCAAAGCTCTAGGAGGAGTATTTCAAATACCATTGCGAGCGTTTTACAAACAAACCTCAATAGCCGACTTCCTGTTGGGCTGGGGTAAAAAGTAAGAGCGCGAGGTATAGATGAAACGATGAGATCAACATGTGTACCGAGTTTCATATTATTACATGCAAGCGTGTTTGAGTTATGGACCGAGTGTTCGGACCCCGTTCCAGGGGCGCTGACGAGCCCCCTGCCACGCCCAGGTACCAGCTTCAGCCCGGCTCTGATGGCCGCGGGTTCTGACCCGTGTGCAAAGTTTCAAGAGTTTTCGAGCACGTTAAGGGCCCCAAAAGTGCCCAAAAGGTAGTAAAATAATAATTATTATAATAATAGAGAAGAAAAATAATCGCAAGGAAAACAATAGGGCCTTCGCCCTTTCAGGGCTTGGGCCCTAATAATCCCAAGGAAAACAATAGGGCCTTCGCCCTTTCAGGGCTTGGGCCCTAATAATAATAGTAAAGAAAAATAATCCCAAGGAAAACAATAGGGCCTTCGCCCTTTCAGGGCTTGGGCCCTAATTAACTGGGGGCCTGTTCTTATCAACCTGTTGGACCAAGTTCATTACATGAACTAGTTCAAAGTTCAATTCACAAATTTTAATATGAACTATTTCAGTTCATATTTCAAAAATGAACTAGTTCTTTTTTTCCCCATATGTTGCTGCAAGCTTCTTTTTTATTATTAGGCTATTATTATTGCCACAACAACCACAGATAACAATCATTTTATCGACGGGCAAAGTTTGCACAGACATAAGATTTTCCCATCCTCACCGACCTCATAAAAGCCTTTTAAATGATCTTACGACGCCTCCTCGGTTCACAGACACTAGAATGAACGAGTTCACTGTAACGTTCATCAGGCAGTAATACAGTAGGCTACGTTCAGTTCACGTTCGCCCAAAATATGAACGAGTTCATTAACTATCGTTCATTGAACGTGTTCAGACACAACACATATTACAAGCTCAAAATGATTATTCTCACATTGTTTTTAGAGCAGCGATATCCAACACGTCGCTCGCGAGCTATCAGTAGTTGTGGGCTGATTTGGT